TAAAACCAAAATTTTATATTGTGAGTTCCATGACCTTAACAGCCTTTTCGGTTTGTTTGTTGTTGTTGTTTTTACCACTTTATTTCCAGTGCCCAGCATCTGACACAAAGTTTGTGCTTGGTAAATATTTATCGAATGAATAAGTGAATGAATAGGACTTGGACTAAGTCACACACAGCAAATTGGTGAGGCCGAGACTTAGTATATAATGAGTGATTAGACAGACGTTGATGATATTACCAGGATAGGCAATAAAGAAGGACAAGTATGGAGAAAGAGATGCTGAGATCACTTTTGGATATGAGAGCTTAAGGTACTTATGGGGCATCCAGGTAGAGGTATGAACAGACAATGAGCTATTCAGTTGATGCAGTTTAGACTTGTCCAGCACTTCAATGCCTCTCTCTTAAAAATATTTTATTTATTTATATTTAATATTTATTGGGTGACATTGATTAATAAGATATTGGTTTCAAGTGTGCAATTCTATGACACATCATCTGTATCTTCAAAAAAAGGCTTTCAGCCCTGACTGGTTTGGCTCAGTGGATAGAGCGACAACCTGCGGACTGAAGGGTCCCGGGTTCGATTCCAGCCAAGGGCATGTACCTTGGTTGAGGGCACATCCCCAATTGGGGTATACAGGAGGCAGCTGATCGATGTTTCTCTCTTATCGATGTTTCTAACTTTCTATCCCTCTACCTTCCTCTCTGTAAAAAAATCAATAAAATATATTTTAAAAAAGGCTTTCACTCACTTTACTTTCAAGCACTATGCTACTCTGGGGATGTTTCCAGCCTTCGCATAGTCACTAGGGCAGAGTTTCTTAAACTTTAATGTGCAGCAAATCACATGAGGAATCTTGTTAAAATGCAGACTCAGAAAGTGGGGCCTGAGCTTCTACATTTTTAACAAGTTTCCAAGTGATGCATCACCCTTTTTGAGTAGCGAGACATTGCAAATCAGTGAAGATGGCACTAAGAGCTGGTTAGCATTTCATTTTTTATTTTTGAAAAATTTCACAATCTTTATAAGTAGAGACTGGTGAACTTGCAAAATTCTGTTCCTTCTTAAAATAAATTTCTTCTCATAAACTTTGTTTTTGCACTTTGAAGAATGTTTAGTTTTTTACATGTTAGGTTTAAATATATAATATGGCTTTTAATTCATAATTTAAGATAAGCTCTTTTAAAAAATGTTTTTATTAATTTTAGAGAGAGAGAGGGAGAGATAGAAACATCGATGGGAGAGAATCAACATCAATCCGCTGGAATCTAGCCCACAACCTGGGCATGAGCCCTGACCAGGAATTGAACTGGAGATCTCTTGGTGCATGGGTCAACCCTAAACCACCGAGTGACACTGGCCAGCCTCAAGATTAAACTCTTAATTTTAATAATAATCCTACAAATTTCTTATTCTTTCAAAGAGGTGTGTGCGTGTGTGTGTGTGTGTGTGTGTGTGTGTGTGTGTTTTAGGATTTAACCTTAGGTTAAAGATAAGTTTAGCAGCTATTAGGAATAATGCAGCAGACAGGAAGGCTCTGGAAGTAGGTAAATTCAAGACATTTTGATACATTCAAAAACTTAGACAAAAGAGATTTTTTTTTTTTGGAAATCAGTAGCTTTCTTAGCTATCATTAGATTCATTTAAACTGAATGAATAACTTAGGTATCAGCTATACCTTTATCTGTAAATAATTTTCCCTTTACGTGATTGTTTTATAAAATTCTATTATTTTTTTTCCTTTTTTTAATTCAAAAAATTTTTTAGTCAATAATATGGTAATAACTAGGTAAGGTGCCAGGTGGGTACTGGAAATACTGAAGTGACTTGATCAATTAGATGATTGTCTAACCACTATGCTGTATACCTGAAATTAATACAAAATCATATTGAATGTAAAGTGTAACTGAAAAATAAATTTTTAAAAATATTAATTTCTTTTTTTTTAGGATTTGTTATAGTTCTGGATACTGAGAGACACTTGTGAATTAGAAAAAGATCTTGAGTTCATGAAACTTAATTTGTGGGAAAACAGAGACAATAAAGAACTAAATAAATATGATATTTTCATGTGAAGATATGTACTACTCAAAATAAAAAAGAGCAATGAGCTAGAGCAGCGGTCGCCAACCGGTGGTCTGCGGACCACTCTGGTAGTCCATGAGGTCCGAAAGGTTGGTGACTGCTGAGCTAGAGATTATATTGTGTTAGGGGGCACTCTTAGATTGTGTGGTCTGGAAAGCCCTATCTAGGGTGTAATATCTGTGTAGAAATGTAAGTAAAATGAGGAAGTGAACCATAATAATAAGAAAAGAGAGAACAGCAAAGTGAGAATGCCATATGTAAAGAATAGGCTTGGTGTGTTGAAGGAGATCAAGGTCAGTGAGATCAATGGCACAAGGGAGGGAAAAGTATGGGGCGGGGGGGCGGCGATGGAAATTGAAATAAGTAGCAGCCAGATCAGGCAGAGTTTTGAAGACCAAAAGCAGGGAGTCTGGATTTTATTCAAAGCATGATGGCAAACATAGAGTGTTCTCCCAAAAATGTATATGCACTTTGAATGATTATAGAGTCAGTGTTTATTAACATACTGTTAATTTTCAAAATTTAAAAAAGAATCTACAGAAATTAATTTTTTTTTTTTTGTCAATGTCTGTTTTCACACTGATGACCATTCTGGTCCAGGCACTGCTGATAACGAGAAGCAATGGAACTGCAAATATCAGGAATCATTTCGTTCGGTATTTGTGGGCCCCCAATTCATCAACTGTTGCCAGTTTTGTACCATACAGTTTATCATTTCTGTATCCCCATAAAAAAGTCTAGAGGATAAATTTTATTTGTTCAAAGCTTAGTCTGGCTTCACCCATTACTTCATATCAGTTAAACCTGAAAAGGAGTGAAAATTCATGTATATACAGTTTGAATAATTATAAATGCAGTTTTCAAACTTCCAGTAGTATTTTAGGATGAATTTCCTTTGGTCAAAGCTTAGTCTGGCTGAAAAGAAAGAAACATCAATTGAGCTATCAGCTGTTAAAGTGTGTATACACGTTCTTGGGACACCTTGTATTTATGGTTTTAAACAGAAAATAACATGATCTTACTTATTCTCCTCTATGAAGTTCTCCTACATTTTCAGATTAAGAAATTCATGTTTCTCTTTAAAGGCACACCTCAAATGTCATACTCATTGTAAAGCCTTCCTTAACTTTCCCAATACTTTTTCTCTTTAGTGTTTCCATTTGTGCATTCCACTACCACAGTACATGCTTCTACTATAATACATTTCCCTAATAAGGTATTAATCACTTGTTTCCCACTTGACTTTTCCACTAAATTGTTAGTTCCTGTATGCCTAGTTCATAGTGCAGTACATAGCACACATTAGTAAGCAAATGATTACTAATGAACAAATGAGTATTTGAACTGTTTCCAAACCTATGCTTCTCGTCTTAATCTTTCTATCAGATTCCACTCTCAAATGCCTATTGGCATTGTCAACTGACTGTCCAGTTTTCCCTCAAACTCAACATCGCAAACTCATTATCTCATTCCAATTTCATATTTTTTTGTAATATCAACATCTTTCTAATTTCCTTGGTTAGAAAACTTAGAGTACTATGATTCTTCTGATGCTGGGGGATTTATTTCCTTTATTTCATTGACTCTAGCTGTGGTTCAGACTTTCATCACTTAATTTTTGAAAAAAATGCAATGGACTTTTGGCTGGCTAGAGGTTATTCTGACTCAAAGTTATTTTCTATTCAAATTCATACTGCATATCTCTGCAAAAATATTGTCATTGAATTCTTATTTTATTCATAAGGTCATGCATTGTTCTATTTATAAAGTATTTTGGCACACTTATTATGTGTATGATATGTGTCCTTCTGTAGTATAGAACTTTAATTAATGTTCATGCAAACTAAGTGAGATAGTATTTTTATCTCCATTTTACAGGTAAGGAAAATAAAATTTACGTATCTTAGGCCACCTGCCCACGGTCACAATTACACCAACAAGGAAATCGTAGAGCTGAGATTTGATCACAGTTCTATCAGCTGGGGATACTGAGCTTTGCTTAAGCACTTAATTAGTGAGTAGTATCTCAAGTTTAATTCCTGCTTCTCTTTACAGGATCTCCATGATATGGCCCACCAATCTTACTTAATTTCCTATTATTACTGAACTTGCATCTTCTCCACATTTCAAATATCTTTCTAGTTATCTCCTGTGCATTGACCTTTTTACTTCAATTAGATTGTAAGCTCCCTAAAACCACTCTTGTTTTAAATTTCTGTGAAGGGCACAATAAATTCTCATTGAATACAGCAGACCCCTTGTATCTATAGGTTCTGTATCCAAAGATTCCAGGAACCCAGATGGAAAATATTTTTTAAATGCTATATTGTTGCTGACATATACTATGTAGTTAGGTCTATGATGGCTATGTCTATACTGAACATGTACAAACTTTTTTTTGGTCATTATTCCCTAAATGATACAGTATAACAACTATTTACATAGCATTTACATTGTATTAAGTACTATAAGTACCCTATAGATGAATTGTAGTATACAGGAGGATATGTGTAGGTTGTATGCAAAAACTATGTCATTTCATATAAGGGCCTTGAGCATTCCTGGATTTGATATGGGGAGGGTTGGTGTGGGGGCTCCTGGAATAAATCCCCTTCCAGAGGACTGTTGATAAAATCGTTAGCACAATCCTTGACACACACACATGCTGACTAAATGGTAACAATGATTACTACTACTCGAGGTTCTGATGCATCAAATTGAAGTTCCATAGGAAACCATAAAATTCTGATCCCTAACTCAACCCTAAGAACTTTTTGCTTATTCTTATGATCTAGAGTAGACTAATGTTTTTCCAAGCTAAGTTAGTACACTTCAGTCTTTTCTCACCCTTTTACCAAGTGTCAACAAGACAGACATCAGTAAGCAGCAACATTTATCCACCATTACTGAGTTCTTTAATTGGAGGCTGCTTTGGAGGAAATAAAAAAAGGAATCGTTGTAATGTTTCTGAGGTGAATGGTCAACGTGCTTGCAATCAATCAATTTAACTTAATTTTATGGAGTTTACTAAGTGTCCCAGGATTTCCTGGCTCGAGTTTCTGAAGTACAGAGTCTTAAACAATCACATCTTCGCTTCGAATAGAATCTCCCCAGATCCAGCGACAGGTCTATGGGCCTCGCCACCTGACCTTGCTGTTGGAGCTGCATATACTTCCAAAGCGGCAGAGAAAAAAAGGCGATCCGCGGCGCCAAAAGTCTCCGTTCCGAAGGTCCCGCGGTCGGCCCCGCCCCCAGTGAGCGCGGTCGCGTCACGTGACATCAGACGCCCTCCCGGAAGTGCTGCAGCGGAAACGGTGGGGGCGTGTCTCCAGGTCACCCGGCGGCGTGTAGTTACCGGAGAAACGCGGGAAGTGGGGTCCAGGCACGGTTCTCTCCACCGTTAAGGCTGTTTCAGTTCCAGCGCGAGCGGGTAGCCCGGCCGAGGCGTCGGGTGCGACGCCATGGAAGTGGTGGAGGCCGCCGCTGCGCAGCTGGAGACTCTGAAATTCGGCGG